TCAAGATTAATAAAGCACTGTGTAATCTATTTCTGGGGTATTTTCCATACCTTTCTGTTTGTTCAACATAGCCTTTATAGTTCAATTTGATCTTTTTATAACTGCCTGACCTATAGGATTGTTTGGTATGCCTATAATATGTTTTATATTATAATAAACAATAAAATGTTTTTTAGATACATTTACTAGACCATTAACTGTCTTTATTTGTGCATGCATACCCATGATGGCCATAACTTCTAATAAATGCATGATTACTGAATCAGCCTTTTCTGAGCTCAAAGCTGTTGACCATTAAAAACCTGAATAAGTGTCAATGGTGTGGTGTACATATTTTAATTTTTAAAAATCTGTAAAGTGGAACACATCCATATGACAGATTTCACTCTTTGAGTACCCTTTGAGTTACTCCCTGCAGATAGTGGTGTCTAGTTATAGAAAGAACAAGTTGGATATTTCTTTATTATCTCCTTAGCTTGTTGCCATGTAATAGAAGAATCTTTTAAACCTTTGATATTGACATGATTTTTTAATGAAATTCTGGGGCCTTCAGCACATTTCCAATCAATAATTGATAAATTTCAGCATCACTTTGTTCTAGAGCACCTAGAAGTCCTGTATGGGATCAGATATGTGGTATGCACATGGGTCAAAGCCTATTCCTGATTATATCGTGAACCTGAATGAATAATGAAGTCAATTCTGTGTCATCTAGTATAAATTTAGCAGTTTCAATATGCAAAACAACTCCGCATATTGTGAATCAATAACTATATTGAGAGGTTCTTTAAAATTCCTTAGTACCATGAGAATAGCATGTAATTCTGCTTTTTGGACAGAATTATTAGGGCTTTGTTACAACTTACTTAAATCTTCTGATTTATTTGCATCAGTATAGAAAGTATGGGCTATAGTTATTGGTGTATCACATATTATGTGGGGAAGAATCCAAGTAGTTCTCTATTTAAGGTTAATTCTATCACTTTTGGGATAATTGCTATTAATCTCCCCTAAAAATTAGCACAAGCTCTTTGCTAGGATTCATTGTTTTTCCATAATTTTTTAATGTCATCAGTAGTAAAAGGTACTTTGCTGGGTCTATTGCTGCTAGTTGACAAAGTCTCAATTTTCCTTTTATTATTATTTCAGAGACCTTTTCGACATAAGTTTTTAGTTTTTTACTCAGTTTATATGGCAAATGATTCATTCTAAGATAATATCTTCCCTTTGCATTAAAATTCCTATAGGGGAAATTCTGGAAGGCACTATGACTAGAATGCAATTAGGATTTGTTTCTACTGAGCTGGGCAGTGGTGTCTCAAACCTTTAATCCCAGAATTCAGGAGGCAGAGGAAGGCTGATCTCTGAGTTCGAGGCCAGCCTCGTCTACAAAAGCTAGGAACAGGACAGTCTTCAAAGCTACAGAGAAACCCTCTCGAAAAACAAAACAAAAACAAACAAAAGACTTGGATCTACGAGATCCAAATGTGTCTTCTATAATTTCTCTTCAATCAAATTATTTCTCAGCTTCAGCTGTTAATTCCTCGGGAATATGATATATGATATAAACATACACACACATTTCTGCTAATTGTAGTATAAGTAAAAGCCCATCATATGTTTAAAATAAAGACATAGACTAAGATAATAGTTGATAAATATCTTTCTTATTTTAAGATGTAATTCATTTTAAGATACTATTCTTTCAGATAACAGCAAGAAGAGGAGAGGGAGGAAGAGGAAGCACTACACTGACAAACACCAAACCCTGATATCAATTGTTTTTTTAATTTTATAATTTCTTTTTCAGAGTACTTGAGCCATGAGAAGGAAAGTGTCATAGAATTATGAGCTGTAAAACTCAAGCAACATTGGCAGGTTAGTGTCACTGTCACATAAAATATAACTTGCTTTAGATTTATGTCAGAAGAAAATAGTACTAGAGAGAAAAGTACATGTGCACAAAGGGCACTTGTTTCTAATCAGTTTTGAGTTGGAGCATGCAGGGTTTACAGTTGGATATGATCATTGATGATGGCTTTTTTTTCCCTAAAGTGTGTTGAAGCCATGATCACATTGACTCTCTGCTGACTAGTGCCTGGAAAACAAAAGTGAGGAACATGAAAATGGGAGGGAGGATAGAGGGCAGTGAGTAGATATGATTGCAGTACATTGTACTGTCAAAAGTAAAACAGCTTGACACTTCAAAATTATGTTAAAAATTCATTCTACCTCCAACAAACATAAATTACACAGGTATAACATAACTTACAAGTGCTTCTGAAAAGCATAGTTTACAAACCTGACAGTAGACCCACAAATGGACAAAAAAGTCCTGTTGTATGTTAATAACTTGTTGCTTAGTTCTGGATATTCTCTGTTTGCATTTTATAATATTTAAAGCATTTTATATAAAAATAATGAGATAGTCACAGAGAGTTGCAAAGATAGTAAAGGTCTTTTTCAGTCTTTATGGGAGAAAGTTAGAATGACTATATAATATCTGATTCAGGATGCAGATTTTGGTACAATGCAGACGTGTGGCTGTAGTTAGAGACCGAATATTTGTTACCTGGCCACCCAGAAACTATATTAATTACAACACTGTTTGGCCTATTAGCTCAGGCTTTTTATTAACTAATTATTACATTTTAAATTAGCCCATTGCTGTTAATCTATGTAGTGCCATGAGACTGTGGCCTACCAGTAAGGTTCCAGTGTCTGTCACCTTAGGCATCTACATGGCATCTTCCTGACTTTGCCTTCTTTCTCCACAAATTCCTTCCAGCCTGGCTATATTCTACCATGCCATAGGTCAAGGCAGTTTCTTTATTAGGTAATGGCAGTAGGCATATTCATAGCATACAGAGGATAATCCCACATCATCTCCCCTTTCCTGTCTAAATAAAAAGGAAGATTTTAACTTTAACATAGTAAATATAACAATTATCAAATGAATTTTAGTTACAATATTTAGTCCATTTACTATTTGACAAATTAAGGAAAGTACTCTATCATCTATCTTATTTTTCTGAGTCTAAAGTTTTGCTCCTTTTTTATCTTTTATCACAACTGAGGAAAACTATAAATATACTTATCTGTCTTCAACTCCATCAAAGACCCCAGAAGGATATATTATTACCAAAGTAAACAGGAAGTGAATTGTAAACAACTTCCAGAACTCTAGAATTGACAGAGACATCTTGCTGCCTGGACAGTCACCCAAAGTTCTCTTGTAACTTTGGGGAATCTATCTTCAGCTTACAGGCCCATAGTATCTGGCAGACTTTTTCATGAATCAGGAACTTTGAAAAGCTGTTTTGACTTTATTGGTGGTTTGTAAGTCACTTTCTTTTGTGTCCTGCAGAATGTCTGGCAGATTCTAATATGAGGCAGGAACCCTTGAAGGACAGTCCCATCTTTAGGCAAGCTCAACAGTCATTTTTCAGTGGGTCCTGCATGTCCAGTTCATACAGCATACCATCAAGCAGTACAGGGAGGAACAGTTTTTTGCCCAAATGGCTAGCCTTGTCACATTGAAGGCAAATTTCATAATGATGTTGTTCAAATGCCCTTCAACCTCCCTGAAGTATTTAGTGCTGCCAGAAGCAGACATGTCTCACTGTTGAGAAAAGTCTATTTTCTTAAAACATTTTAAATGCCATATTGTGTAGGTCTTTGAAAGGTTTGAAGGATACCTATCCATCTGAAATATATCTCTGTACACATCTACAAAACCTAACTTATATGACTACAAGTAGGACTATTATAAGTGAATATCTATGAATCTATAATTCTGAGTTATACATTATATTTTTAAATAAGATGTATAAGCATTATATCTTAAACAAGAGTAGAAATAAATATACCTACTGTTTAACAAAATAGACCTCATATTTATATCAATAGATCAAGATCCATACAATGTAAAGTAATCATTTCTATATCATATCCCTTCTTTTCTTCTTAAGAAAGACCTTGATTGTGACCACTAACAATTTAGAATCAACCTCCTTCAAATGAAAACAAATATTTATAAACAATCATTTTGGGAATTTGGGTGTAGTTTTCTCCAAACTGCTTCCTGTTTTTTATTGGGCAAAGTATTTTTAAGGTTCATAGAGACTTTCCATGGGTCTTGTTCCCTCAAGCCACATTAGTCTAGAAAGAACCTATAGGTTCTTATCTTCTGTGAAAACAAAAGCAGAACCTCTTTTTCAAAGTAACCTATCCTTTGGCCCAAATTTTGAAGTCAAGATCACTTTGAAATATGTATGTTGGTTTAGCTCAGCAGTCCCAGAATCAAATGTCTCTCCGAACTCAAAAAATTCAAAGAATACACAATGCAGACTCGCTGCATATATTCCATTTTTTTTAATTTATTAAAGATTTCTGTCTCTTCCCCACCGCCGCCTCCCCTTTCTCTCCCCCTCCCCCAATCAAGTCCCCCTCACTTATCAGCCCAAAGAGCAATCAGGGTTCTCTGCCCTGTGGGAAGTCCAAGGACCACCCTCCTCCATCCAGGTCTCGTAAGGTGAGCATCCAAACTGCCTAGGCTCCCACAAAGCCAATACGTGAGTAGGCTCAAAAACCCAATGCCATTGTTCTTGAGGTCTCAGTAGCCCTCATTGTCCGCTATGTTCAGTGAGACCTGTTTTAACCCAGGCTTTTTCAGACCCAGGCCAGCTGGCCTTGGTGAGTTCCCGATAGAACATCCCCATTGTCTCAGTGTGTGGGTGCACCCCTCGCGGTCCTGAGTTCCTTGCTCGTGTTCGCTCTCCTTCTGCTCCTGATTTGGACCTTGAGATTTCAGTCCGGTGCTCCAATGTGGGTCTCTGTCTCTGTCTCCTTTCATCGCCTGATGAAGGTTAATATTCAGGAGGATGCCTATATGTTTTTCTTTGGGTTCTCCTTCTTATTTAGCTTCTCTAAGAACCCGAATTATAGGCTCAATGTCCTTTATTTATGGCTAGAAACCAAATATGAGTGAGTACATCCCATGTTCCTCTTTTTGGGTCTGGCTTACCTCACTCAGGATAGTGTTTTCTATTTCCATCCATTTGCCTGCAAACTTCAAGAAGTCCTTGTTTTTTACTGCTGAGTAGTACTCTAATATGTATATATTCCATACTTTCTTCATCCATTCTTCAATTGAGGGGCATCTAGGTTGTTTCCAGGTTCTGGCTATTACAAACAATGCTGCTATGAACATAGTAGAGCATATATTTTTGTTGCATGATAAGGCCTCTCTTGGGTATATTCCCAAGAGTGGTATTGCTGGGTCCATGGGTAGGTTGATCCCAAATTTTCTGAGAAACCGCCACACTGCTTTCCAGAGTGGTTGTACAAGTTTGCATTCCCACCAGCAATGGATAAGTGTACCCCTTTCTCCACAACCTCTCCAGCATAGGCTATCATTGGTGTTTTTGATTTTAGCCATTCTGACAGGTGTAAGATGGTATCTTAAAGTTGTCTTGATTTGCATTTCCCTGATCGCTAAGGAAGTTGAGCATGACCTTAGGTGTCTTTTGGCCATTTGAACTTCTTCTGTTGAGAGATCTCTGTTCAGCTCAGTGCCCCATTTTATAATTGGGTTGATTAGCCTTTTACAGTCTAGTTTCTTAAGTTCTTTATATATTTTGGAGATCAGACCTTTGTCAGTTGCGGGGTTGGTGAAGATCTTCTCCCAGTCAGTGGGTTGCCTTTCTGTCTTAGCGACAGTGTCCTTTGCTTTACAGAAGCTTCTCAGTCTCATGAGGTCCCATTTATTCAATGAGGCCCTTACTGTCTGTGCTGCTGATGTTATACGTAGGAAGCGGTCTCCTGTGCCCACTTGTTGTAGTGTAGTTCCCACTTTCTCTCCTATCAGGTTCAGTGTGTTCAGACTGATATTGAGGTCTTTAATCCACTTGGACTTGAGTTTTGTGCATGGTGACAGACATGGATCTATTTTCATTTTTGTACAGATTGAAATCCAGTTTTGCCAGCACAATTTGTTGAAGATGCTCTCTTTTTTCCATTGTATAGTTTTAGCTCCTTTATCGAAAATCAGGTGCTCATAGGTTTGTGGATTAAAGTCAGGGTCTTCTATACGGTTCCATTGGTCGACTTCTCTGTTTTTATGCCAATACCAAGCTGTTTTTAATACTGTAGCTCTGTAATAGAGTTTGAAGTCAGGGATGGTAATGCCTCCAGACGTTCCTTTATTGTATAAGATTGTTTTGGCTATCCTGGGTTTTTTATTTTTCCATATAAAGTTGATTATTGTCTTCTCCAGATCTGTGAAGAATTTTGATGGGATTTTGATGGGGATTGCATTGAATCTATATATTGCTTTTGGAAGAATTGCCATTTTTACTATGTTGATCCTCCCAATCCAAGAGCAAGGGAGATCCTTCCATTTTCTGGTGTCTTCTTCTATTTCGTTCTTCAAAGTCTTAAAGTTCTTGTCATATAGATCTTTCACTTCCTTGGTCAGGGTTACCCCAAGATATTTTATGCTCTTTGTGGCTATCATGAAAGGTGATGCTTCTCTGATTTCCCTCTCTGTTTCCTTATCCTTACTGTATAGGAAGGCAACTGATTTTTTCGAGTTGATCTTGTATCCTGCCACATTACTGAAGGTGTTTATCAGCTGTAGGAGTTCTTTGGTAGAGTTTTTGGGGTCGCTTATGTATACTATCATATCATCTGCAAATAACGAAAGCTTAACTTCTTCCTTTCCAATACGAATCCCTTTGATCCCCTTATGTTGTCTTATTGCTATTGCTAGAACTTCAAGCACTATATTGAAGAGGTATGGAGAGAGTGGACATCCTTGTCTTGTTCCTGATTTTAGTGGGATGGCTTTGAGTTTTTCTCCGTTTAATTTAATGTTA